CCGTCGTCCTTTGGCAATTACCGGGAACAAATCAGACAGGCAAGCCCGCAGCATAGCCCAGTCAGCGCGACTGGCGACCAACTCGGGACAGCTGAGTGCTGGACAAAGATATTACACGCACAATCGGGATAACAGCTCAGAGTCCAACTTGTCTACGTTCGCAACCGCTGGTTCTACCACCGGCTCTGGGCCACCGTCTGGGAAATCGCTAGAAGGTCGCTCGGACAGCCGAAACGACCGGAGGAACGGATATGAAAACTCACGGCCGGGAACGGGCTTGTCAAGACACGATAGCGCCGACATTCCCATGAGTGGGAAGGACTCGCACAAAGGCTTCCTCAAATTCATGCGTCGGGACAAGAGGAAAGACGAAGCATACCCGTCCCCCGACGACACGAGCCTGGACTCGCCCACCAGTCCGGCGCACCACCGACACCATGGAGTCTTTGGTAAGCCCGGCACGAACTCGAGCGAGACCTCTCTCAACGACCGGCCTTCTTCCCGGCGATCGGGACAGAACGAATCGGAAAATAGGGCAACAGGTCGTGCAAGAGCACATACGAAAGAGTCAGATCGAAAATACGCATTTGTCACTCCGGATGGGTGGAACTACCGCCTGGTCGACATTACGCATGCAAATTCAGCTGCAGAAATGAAGGATATCATCTGTGAAGGGCTGGGGTTCTCAAATGTACCTGCCATTGGCATGCATCTCACGACCCCAGGGCAGTCTGAACACGAGGACCCGCTATCCGACTCCAAGCTTGTGAAGGCGAGGGCTCAGTTTGCGAACAGGTTCGGCGAGCTCAAGATATTCGTCAGCGTGCCCGCTTCTGTGCCACCTTCGGCTGGTTTGGGTGTCTCGTTTGACGCAGCAACGTCCAAACCGATCGACGAGCCGACTTTTGCTCGTCTTAACGCCGAGTCTCAACTTGACCCCCCTGATGTCAAATCCGGAGAGTCCACGCTTGTCCCGGACAAGAGTGCGAAGCTTCGCAAGTTGGCGGAGGACAACGAACTCAGCCCTGAAGCTGTCGCCCAGCGACTGAACGGTGGTGCCTCCAGGGCACCGGAACCTTCATGGGCAGCAGGCGACGAGCTCCCCGAAGATGAGCGGAAAAAGATCCTCGAAGCTGCCGCTGCCGAACACCAGCGAGAGGCAAAACGCAAGCAAGAGGCCTACCTTGCTTCGAGACAGGAGAAACTGAAGCGGCAATCTCCAGATGCCGAGTCAGCTTCGTTCGGGGTAGGCATACGTAGCCCTGTTGTTATTGACTTTGATGAGCCCCGACGTTCGCCCTACGATGAGCATCGGCGGTCCATTGGCGACCATCGCAAGAGCCAGCAGCTGGTCCCGCTGCGGGAACCTCCGCCTGTTCCCAAAGAAGACACGAACACGCTTATCAAGGCTAACTCGCTCTCCAAGGCGAAGAAGGATCGCTCTTCTTGGCCGGAAGGGGAGGAGCCTGCGCCTACTAAGAGACGATCAACCGACGGAGATCATGGTAAACGGAAGGCTATACCCCAGGGGCCCACAGGGCTGTCCACCATTGCTGCGGCCATCATCGATGTCGGCAATGTGGTAAGCTCTGTAGGCGCGGCTAACAAAGCGCCTGCTCGGCCTTCTTCAAAGGAGGCCGCACGTGGCGCTTCTCCAGAGAGAATGCGTCCATCACAGAGAGTGTTGAAGGAGAGCGGATTTGGACAATCTGCTTCAGGTAGGAACAGTCCAGGTGGGTCTCCTCGCAGCCCTGGCTCTACGACCATGAGTAAAGGCAATGTGCCGTTCATCATCCCTGACTATGATGAAGATCTGCGCAACGACCCTGCGCCCGACCGCCCCAACCTCACGTTACGAATGCCATCTGCGCCTAATCCCGCCATCAGTAAGCTCAAGGAGGAGCAGGCTTCGAAGAATCGGTCTCCGGATGTCAGCCCGCACTCGGCGCACCCTCCTGCTTCAATGCTGTCCCGAGAGGCCTCCAGGGCGTCGGTCGCTTCGTCCCTCTACGGGCCAACCATTGACTTTGAGGAGGCACGCGTATCTTTCCACTCCAAGTCGCTACAAAACGCGTCTGAAGAGGACGATAGTGATTCTGAAGATGGCCTCTTCCAGAAGCCCCTGGCAAAGGCGACCCCTTCATCTGCGCAAGGCAGTCTGGATACCCCAGTTGATATTCGCAGCAAGCGGCCTTCGCTCACGCTGAAGACGTCGAGGTCCAAGAACTCCTTGGACAAGGCAACCGACCGTTCTGCCGAATATAGTGCGGCCACGGACGATACGCGCGATTCTAGGCCGAGCGACTTCCACCCTGAATCAGCCGCTTCAGCAACCTGGACAGACTCTCCTGACGAGGCTAACAGGTTTTCTTTGCGGAGAGAGTCATTTACGAGCGACCTGTGGGCAAATCGTCCTCCCGCAGAAGCACTTGTGCAGCACCTCGATGAGTTCTTCCCCAACGTCAATCTAGATCAGCCTGTGCTGGAGGATGACGCGACTGATGCAGAGCCAACAATGGAGGTCACCAGTGACTTTTCTAAAGATAGGTCCGTCACACAAAAATCCTCATTCGACGAGAAGGACGCTCCTGCCTCTGGACTCAGGCGAGGGACCGCCGGCATGCAGTCGATCGCGCAGCGCAACGTGCGGAAGTCAGGCGGCCTTGGACGCACCAAGTCTATTCGAGAGGTCGTCAAGTCTCAGTATCTGCCTGACAGGCATCCTCTCCCACCACCTGGTGCTCGAGTGGAGAAGCTCCGTGAAGGCGGTGACATTGTGCGAAGGAAGTCTACCAAGATGTTCCGCGCCAAGATCGAGCAAGTGAAGCCGTCAAGAGGGTCCAGACTCATCCAGTTGGAGACCATTCCGCAGGACCACCTCCCGACGCCGCAAAGGCAGCTAACGTTCAAGTGGATGAAGGGCCAGCTTATTGGCAAGGGCACCTTTGGCCGCGTCTACCTCGGTATGAACATCACAACCGGTGAGCTCATCGCAGTCAAGCAGGTCGAGGTCAACCCCAAAGCCGCGGGCACGGACAAGGACAAGATCAAAGAGCTCGTCAAGAGCTTGGACCAGGAGATCGACACCATGCAGCATCTCGATCACCCAAATATCGTGCAGTATCTTGGATGCGAGCGCAAAGAGTATAGCATTTCCATCTTCCTGGAGTACATCAGCGGTGGCTCCGTAGGCAGCTGTCTCCGCAAGCACGGCAAGTTCGAGGAATGTGTTGTCAGCTCTCTCACTCGGCAGACGCTCGGCGGTCTGGCCTACCTGCACCGCGAAGGCATTCTGCATCGCGATCTAAAAGCCGACAACATCCTCCTTGATCTTGACGGCACTTGCAAGATCTCTGATTTCGGTATCTCCAAAAAGACGGACAATATCTACGGCAACGACATCACGAACAGCATGCAGGGCTCCGTCTTCTGGATGGCACCCGAAGTCATCCGCTCCCAGGGCCAGGGCTACTCTGCGAAGGTGGATATCTGGTCTCTTGGCTGCGTTGTTCTCGAAATGTTCGCTGGCCGGCGTCCATGGTCGAAGGAGGAGGCTATCGGTGCCATTTATAAGCTTGGGAGCTTGAACCAAGCGCCGCCGATCCCGGAAGACGTGTCGCGCGTCATTGGCGTTGAGGGGTTGAGCTTCATGTATGACTGCTTTACCATGTGAGTCCCCTTCCTTTGTCTCCGTTTGAGCAGTGCTAATAAATGACAGCGATCCCGCGGAACGACCGACGGCCGAGACGTTGCTACGTTCGCCGTTTTGCTTCCTGGATCCCAACTATAATTTCTTGGATACGGAGCTGTATGCGAAGATTCGCGGCGCTTTTCAGTAGGCGTAGTGACGCGAAATGACACCAGCTGGTGTAGATGCGTTCGATGAATGATGGGGTCCAAGACCCTGTGTTTTCTATTTCTCGGTTCATATTGTGTTATTTCGAACGGGACACTGTCGGGATCTGTTGTTAAGCGTGGCGTTTTTCGGTCGGGTTTCTGGTATGTTACAGGGTGGACGATGGGACTGCGGTACGCGTGGTCCATCATCCGGCCGGGTATGGGTATACTGGGCTGGAAATAGGTCGAGACATTTAGTGCTGGTTTCTCCACTGCTCGCGACGCTTGCTGAGCGGAGGTTTATAGCGATCTGTAGTATGGATCTAGCGCTTGTCCTGCGTTGCGTGCGAGACGGCTTGCGAGTTTATGGTCGGTTTGAGCACACTGCTGACCTTCGCATTTGGCCTCATGTCACGATCGTGCACTAATATTTCGGCGTAGAGGCTTCGGAGGATGTTTAGATGTATTCGTAGGGTGCTCATGAACGTCCTCCAAGGCAATCGAGTACTTTCCACTGGATCATTTATCGGAGAACGATAATTAAGCATAGCAAGTTGTTGTTCTGATCCAAGATCTATTTGAGCGTATCCACCGAGTGAGGGAGTGAAAGATCCTTTTATTCGATTGTTCCTCGAGGGGAACTTCCATGTGAAGTGACGGGTCTTTCCGTTCAATCGTCTCTTCAAGCGTAGTAACCAACAAGCAGATGGCGGATCCTTCATTGAAACGTCCGTTTAGTGCATATACTTTCTATTAAGTGAACGATCTTCAGTAAAGAATTTCCAGCTTTGTTCGTCCTGCAGCGTATCTATCGACTCTTCCATTTGATCGTACCTTTGGCATCTCTGTCGATCTTTTGATTTAGTTCTGCTTGAGCGTACCTGCCGTACGCGCTAAATCTTCCATCCTATCGTCTTTAGATATATCTATTGTGTAGGGCGGTGTGTTAATGATGGGCCTTTAGTTGTGCTTCTATCAACACGCAACAGAATAGTTTCGTCCACAAAAGTACCTAGGTAGTAGATAAAAAGAGAATCAGGAATGCGGTAAAGTTGCTGGGCCCCACAGTCTAGGCCTTGTTTAACCACTATCAGGCTCTTAGCTAAACATTAAATTTGTATATATAAGTTTTTAACCTACTACATTTTGTATAAAAGATTTTAGGGCGTGTGGTCTAGTGGTATGATTTTCCCTTAGCATGGGAAAGGTCCTGGGTTCAATTCCCAGCACGTCCAATCTTTTTGCTTCAGGCTGCTTGTGTGTGCCACAGCCCTCTTTCATCTTTTTCTTTTATTTTTTTCTGGCGGTGGTGGGTCCGTTGTGTGGCTGTGGGTCCGCTAAATCGTCTAGTCTCGCGCGTAGAACAAACAGTCAGTGCACATCACTTTCTCAAATGAACCTTCAAGAGTTGATCTGACTGACCTTATGAAAGTAACATCCACGACAGTGTGTCTGGATGAATCTGCCCTTTTCATGTCCTCCCCGAGGGTCGGGGCTGCGATTGTTTACCATTGTCGAGCACAAACAGGTGTTCGTCTGCAGAGCCTTCATGCATAGGGGCTGTGTGTGTATCAATCAATGCTCATATTCATCAACATAACCTCAGAGGTCTCTCGAGCCTTACACCTGAGCGGCTAGCGTGGAATTTTCTCCATTTTCGAGGATATCGTACACATGCTAAGGTGGTACCGGTAATGAGCAAATGAGGCAAACTGTTTTGTCTATACACGATGTCGGGTCAGCCGACGCGCTCTCTTTAGCTCTGGTAGTTTAGCCGTGGTAGAGAGTAGTATTCGTCATCCCAATAATGCTTCCCGCGCCATTAGGTCCCTTGTCGGCAGCCTGGTCGGCAGGTATAGTATCCGCTGGCCCATTCTTACACTCGATTCCCCTCGACTCTTGACTAGGAGACATCCTGTACAATTTATCTTACGGCAGAAAAGAGAAAATGGGACCTCGGTAAAGAGAGACGGTAGGCGTGGAGGGGAGGAATGGCCCGTATGGGATATAACCTTGGTGCTGTTCATCCGACAGCCCGGATAGATGTTCGCGAAATTGCTTGTTTGCGCGCAAGAAAGTACGACAGACGAATCATCGCTTCAACCGTGATGTTAATAACCGATAAGCACTATTCAACCAATGTGCAACATATTTCGTGGTGCTTACACTCTGTAGGACATTCTGTGATTGGTTATCGCTTAGTTGTTTCTATTTGACGATGGAAGGAAGTGGTAGGGGTCGGTGACTACCAACGACCAGCGAAAAATAGGTCTTGTATAAACACTGCAGCACCAGCCAGTCCCTAGATACGCAGCACGTCTCAGAACATTGGAACTCTACTGTCTTCACCAGCATGCAACTCATCGCCCAAATAACGCTGGCATCTTTGGCCGTTCTCGCAGTGGCTCTTCCCACTCGCGATGCGGCATGCACGACACCTGTAGAGCGGGTACCATGGCAAGCACCACCCGTCAAAGTCCCTGCCTTAGGGTATGACACTAATCCACCCAAAGGCACAAGATGACAGACGCCGATAAAGCTTCTTATCTAAAGGCAACTCAATGCCTTCTCTCGTCACCTGCCAAAACAAAACTGCCAGGAGTGAAGACACGATGGGACGATCTCGCTTCACTGCACCAACTCCACGCACTGCAAATCCACAGTACCGGCACCTTTCTCCCATTCCACCGATACTTCCTGCACGTACATGGCTCTCTACTGAAGGAGTGTGGATACAATGGCCCACTGTCTTACTGGAATGAAACACTTGACGCCGGACATTTCTCCACTTCTGTGGTTTTCGACCCTGTTCTTGGATTCGGTGGCAATGGTAAAGGAACAAAGAACTGCGTGGCAGACGGTCCATTTGTGAATGCGACGGTGAATATTGGGCCAGGCTTTACTACTCAACCCCGATGTGTGAATAGGAAGTTCAATGACGGGCTTAGTGCGCTGACGGGGAAGAGTTATGTGGATAACGCGTTGAAGCCGACCGCGTATTGGGAGGCGCAGGACGCAATCTACTCAGGATTTCGTAAGTGGCGTCAACCCAACCACTTTATTGACGAATGCCCTAACGAAACCATCTCAAGATCTCTTTGGTCACGCGGCTCTTGCAATGATGGATGGAGACTCAATCACATCAGCTGGCGACCCGCTCTTCATGCTGCATCGTAAGTCTTTTCGATCCGTAACAAACACATTTCTACTTGGATGAGCGCTTATGCTTGTCAGACGGCCTCGTAGACAAGGTGTGGGCCGACTGGCAAGCCGGGTCCCCATCGCGGCTCTCTGAGATCGGTGGGCCAAACGCACAAGATCCCGCCACCGGCTTCACCGAATTTCCAGGCGGAATAGAAGAAGAGGCCAAGATGTGGGGAAAGCCAACACCGGAAATGGCTGCTTTAGCTCCTAACCCGCAATCGGGTGATGGTGGGCCGACAACGACTCTGAATCATGTCCTGACAAGCTTTGGCATTCTGCCCGATGTGACAATCGCGGATATTATGGATACCAAGGGGAGCTATCTATGCTATGTATATGCGGTGTAAGCTCGACAAGTATAGATATTACCTTTTTGGAAGCCGACACTACATGCAGTTCGTCGAGTTCTCTTGCACGGCCCCGGTTGAGAGGCAGTTTCCAGTCAAGAATGGAGACTATCGGAGCATTTGCTGGTACACAATAGCTTTGTTAAGAGAAACCACCGAAGCCGGCCGCTAAGTCCCTCTTTAAAGGGAACATAGATATGTGTGAAGCGGGTCATGACGCTCAAATCCGTACCCAACTGTTACAAACAGTGCAAAGAACGCATCTTTATGCCTGAAGTTCCCGGGTACCTGTCAATGGAAGCTGAAATATTTGACTCAGCATATACTGCAGAACTCCCAAATCACGCCTTCGCTCTACTTCCCAAGATACTGTGTGACTACACTCTGGGTTGCAGAAGAAGCTGGTTATAAGCTAGAGTACCATACAATTACGAGCTTCTTAAAGCATGTCAAACAATCCTTCTACCTTTCTCTAGTTCTACCGCCTCCTCTGAGGTAATTATTACATGTATAATGAAACATGCTCTAGAACAAGACCTTTCAAGAAGAATAAAAGGAGAGTAAGCCTACGTAGGAAGGTAATAGAGTGTTAAGGCGCCCGTAATCTGCAGAGGCGACGAAGACTGTACAAGCAGCCTTAAAGAATGCTTCTAAATAGCTCGTAGTGGGCTTGAGTTGAGTTCGGCTTTTCTACAACCCTAGTGCCACAGTATCCTCTCTTTCACCTTTACAGTCACGGAGTACTACCCAAACTGGGTTAGTACCGTTTTGTTGTTTGCAAAGTAAAAGGGAGATCCTCTCTCACCTTCCTTCAGCTCATACCCCACATCTTCTTGTGCCTTTTGCCGCGTTGCCTCCCTATCCTGCGGCCAAGTTCGAGTTTGGCTATTCCCTCACACTACTTCCATCATGGACGACAACAACGGCGACCCCGGACGCCCTTGTGGGAGCTGCGGCAAGTCCACCACGGTGAAATGCGCACGCTGCAAGGACGTGTACTACTGCAACGCTGAATGCCAGAAGGCACACTGGAAGGAGCATAAGAGGATATGCGATATGGACCGCTACATTCGCCGCGTCGGTGCACTCCTCCAGGATCTCTTCTTCGCTTGGGCAGAGCAGATGCATCGCGACTGTTTCGTCAGAATCGAGGATACCGGAAGTCACCTCATAGTCTACGACGGCCCACACCAGCAAGGATCCTTCTACCCGTTTCCGAATCATCTAGTCAAGAATGCGAAGGATAAGCGGATGATCCTCTCGAGTCAGATGTGCGATGAGGCGTTGGCTTACTTCAAAGATCTGGTGGATGAGATGTTGAAGGGTATGTCCGCAAACTCCCCCACCGATTTGGTTTTCTTCGTTTTTGGCGCCGAACAAAACTAATGGAATTAGGTACCGAATGCAAACTGCATGAGTTCCATTTCCGCGTGAAGATCCCTAGACGCCGTACCAAAATCATTACAGTTCACGGCGAAGATATCACGGGTCCTCTCAGGGCGCACCTAGTCATCGCTGTCAGCGCCAAAGACAATCAGAAGGAGTGGATCATCGACCCCACGGGCGCACAATTCAGCATGTTCGAGGCAGTCATGGGCAAATCGGAGTACGAGCATCGCTACGTGGACAAGGTCCTCTCTCACCCAAAGTGGGGGTACACGAAAAAGAAGTTTGAAGCGTACGCCAAAGAGAGAGGGTACGCAGGATTGATGGCTCGTATCTCCTTCAAGAGTATGGAATGTATTCACCAGACGGTCCTCTCCTGGAAGACTGCACACGGCGACCTGAACAGCAACCTTTTCCGTGCAACTGATCCTGTCTTCCAAGACCGCAAGAGCCTTGCTGCTTTCTATGGTCATGAAGCTCAGCGAGTTTGCCAGTACCTCAGACTGGACGAAGGACATAGCCGAGGCAGCGGATTGGTCGCGAAGGTACCCGCAGGTTGCCATGTCACGTCGTATCGAGTTGGAGCGGCTCAAACAGCTCTATCCTGCCTCTGAAGCTTTCGGTCCTGGAGAGCGTATCTTCACAGAATCGGGACTGGAAGAGCTTTTTGTCGCCATGGCGTATCCTGTCTGAGGAGTATGTCGTCCAGGTTGAGAGACACGGACCAAATCACCTGAACATCATGATTGGTCGACGTTCTTTGTGCAGGATCCCATGGGTTGAATGTTCCCGGTGAGCTGAGCCCTGAAGTAAGAAGGCGACATCTAACGCGTCAAGTTAGTCCCGCAAGCCTTTGGGAGGGATCCAGTGATCACTCGACATCGCGATCCATAGATTCGTGGCTTGGAGGGGCACTATGTTAGCTGCTATTATTCTAATAGGCGCCATTGCCGTACTGGACAATGTGCAAATCCCGAACTGAATTCTCGCAGAGCAGAATGTTTTGGCGCTGCTACCGCATGAATCCCGTAGCAATCCATCCCACGATAGTAATGCCGATTTCTATTATGTATCTGTGCCGAGTTCTAGTGGTGTTCGTGAGTGCAAACTTGGGAAGCGGAACAAATGCCTGAGTACTCCTTGCTGTGCATCGTTGCCGTTTCGGTGATTGGTTTACGTGTGGAATGGGCCAAAGCGTCATTGTTCGTAGTGATGGACGATTTCATGCGCGTTTGGCGGCTTTTCGTCTCGAGGGCGAGGCTTCTTCGTCGTCAGAGTAAGGAAGCTCGATGCCACAT